CCATTGTTCCAGGAAGAGATGAAGCAAGGAACTCTGACAATAATGGGTATAGATAGTAAATAGGATTTTTCAGTGAATTTTAGTGATTTGATTATTCATAAGCATTTCCTTCCCGAGCAGCCTGTGTTTTTATCCCTTCTCCCTGCCTCCCTCCCTCTTCCCCCTCCCTCCCTCTCTCCCATCATTCCGCTCCCCTCTCCCACTTTCTATCCTATTTTCTCATTTTAAGATCCTTCTAACTCAAAAGACCATTCGACTGGTGGGGGGATGAAGGTAGAGGATTATTGATGAAAGGATTTCTGATGCTGTGTGCTGCTCACAGTGAAACAAACATAAAGGCTTCATTCATCATGCAGTGCCCATTGATGTCTATGCAGAGTGCTATTACGGAGGAGAGGGTGAGATTTTTTAAAAGGAAGGGGGGACACAAAAATGATTATTCTTTTGGCAAACGCTTAGAGAAACTGTTTTCTTTGTGCCAAGCAACTAATATTTGTAACAAGTCTACTATTAGGGACTCTTTATTTTACAGATTAGAAAGCCTGGGCATAAAGAGGTTAAGTAACTTGCCAGAAGTTCAACAGTGGCAGAACTGAGATACAAAATTCTAGACCCTCTGTCCCCAGCCCTGTGCTGTGCCACCTGGGATAAAAGCCCAGGACAATAGAAGAGAAAGTATATTCAGGTACCATGACACAGAGCTCTGTGTGGTAATGATACAGACGAGGACAATGACAAGGCAGTGAGGGGAGGGAGAGACTATTTCAGACAGGTGGACGGGTGGCCTCTGTACCAGCCTTGAGGGCTGAGGTCGATTCTGATGGTCGCGATCAAGAGTGAGAGTTTGCCCTCAGTTAGAGGAAATGGCATGTGTTCCTTCCATGCTGGGTCTGCAAAGTAGGTTCAGAAAAGAGTAGTCTGGGTTAGTGGGAGAAAAGGATTATATACAGGAGTGCAGGATAAGGCAGGATGAGGCTGAATGTAGGATGCTGGTCCAGAACTCATAGTCTTAGCCACCCTTTGATACTTGGACTTAAAAGTATAGAGGATTTAAAGGGAGATGGTTAAGAAAATATTAAAGATAACTCCCAAGATTTTAATCCATTTCAACTCAAAGACATGTCGTGAGTGACATTATTAAAGCAACGAGTATTGTGCGTGCACTACATGCCAGGCAGTGTGCTGAGCACTCCGCATGCGTTACCGTATTTAATGTTGCCAGTAGCCTGACAGCAGTCCTTTCCTCTGTTTTACAGATGAGGAAACAGGACTGTGCCTGTGCCCACTAAACTCTATAGTTTCCACAAGTGCAAAGGGTGCTTATATTGTTCACAGCAATCTCTCTAATGTCTGACACATAAAAAGTGCTCATTCTATACATGTCTGAATCCGTGAGCATCCTTAGAAGCCCTAATTTGAACTCAGAACAGCCCCACCCTACCTCCTGGAGAAGACAGTGCATTCCCATTGTAGCCATAGGAAGAAATCTTGATATGAATATTCAGCCGATATATAAATTCTTAGTGGAGCCTGAGGAAAAGGTCCAGGCTAGGCTCCCTGTCAGGGAGCATCCATCTGGAGATCAAAAAAAAATATATCCCTAAAGTTAGATGGGATGATTAAGGGAGAGGGTGTAACCTCTAAACCAGAACACCTATATTGAGAGGTTGAGGGGAAGAGGCATTTAAAAAAAGCAGTGAAGACATACAAACTGAGAGATGAGATGGATATACAGATATAAAAGCAAATGGGAAAGAGAAGGAGGGTTTTCAGTAATATCAACCACCACACAGTCATCACGAGAGCGTGGGTGGGGAGGGTGGAGCTCACTGGTAGAGTGCAATGCCTAGCATGCATAAGGTGCTGGGTTCAATTCCCAGTACCTCTATTAAACCAAATAAATAAACCTAATTACCTCCCCCCCCCCGTGAAACCAAACAAACAAAAAGAGCCTCAGAATTAAGGCAGGAAAATTGAATTTGGGGATTCATAGGTCATCAATGACTCTTGGGTGAGCAGATTCAGAAAGGGTCTAGGGAAGAATTAGGCTGGTACCTGAGTGGGTGGGGAAATAGGGCTGTTTAGGAAAGAGTGGATAGTCAATCGTATAACCTTCTTTATAATTTCAGATGAGCTAGTAGTAGTAATATGACAGGGATGAAACATTTGAATAGGAGTAATCTTGTACGTTGTAAATAGAAGAGAAGTCTCCATTCAGTTCTCAGAAGAAACTAAAGATGGCAGGAAGAGAACTGACTGCTAATGGAACGTGACCCCAGAGGAAACGGGAGAATGAGACGCAGGACCAATAGGAAGGGCAGCCCTTAGAAACGGCGGGAGACGTATTACCACTGGAGGAGGAGAAAAACCTGAAAGAAAATACAGAAAAAAGAGGTTCAGTAGAGAAAAACTGAGGGCATTCAAACCGAAAGTCCTCAGTTTTCTTAAAGACGGAGGCAAGTTCTTCATACCTAGAAAGAGGGGGAAAGATTTCAGGAGCAGAGCATGGCAAGAAATATTTTAATTAATTGAAGCAGCAGTTGACAAAAGTTTACTGAATGTCTACTCTGAAATAAACAGAGAATCCAGTAGAGAAGACAATGAAGGATAAAAATCAGCATAATTAGGGGCCCAACTGAGAAGAAACAGCGTGAATGTTTAATAGAATCCAGCAGCACGTTTTCATCATTTTGTTCAGCTTCTGAGAAGTGGTTGTTCAAGGAAGTGAATGGTCCCTGCCCAGGGTTGGGAACAGAAACCGTGAGAATAGCAGGCAAGCGGGGGGTGCGAGAGATGAATTCTAGAGGTCAGCAGAGACAGCACGGGCATGGCCTGAGCCGACAATGAAGTGAATGAACCCTGAGACGAGTGCAGAATCTAGACCATGTGACTTGGGTATGGAGCAGGTTATCAGAAACGAGGAGATCAAGGGCCTGTCATCAGAAAAGGGATGCTCCAAGTTTGAGAACTTGAGGTGAAATAGTTCCAAATCAAGCAAATTATAAATGTCATCTACAGTTTCAGAGGTTAAATAAGGAACTATAAAGCCAAGGTTTAGACGGGCCAGAAGTAAAAATGTGGCAGAGGATGAGGAGCTGGACGACCAACCAGG